TCTTTATTATAGATTATTTAGTATTAAATTATTGACAGGAGTTTCGATACAAATTCAGTGCCAAATGAAAACATGTACATTTGGAAGTCAAAGACGTAGGCAAAAAATGGGAACAAAGAGGTAAAAGCAAAGGAGATTGATTTCAAGCCCATGTTAATTGGCTTTGGCACCTGTAACCAATTTCCAAATGTGCCTCAGATCCCTGTTTTCAGCTGAAGTCAATGGAAGTAAAGCAGCCTTTCCCAAAGAGAAGCAAACTTCCAAATTAAGAGATTAGAAATCTTTTTTTTTTTCCAGTGGCATTTCTGGCCATCAGAGCCATGGGGCTGAGCTGCTCTTTGATGGACAGTTGCTTCCATTTTGCAGTTCTGCTAATGACAAAAGGGGATTGTTTGTTCTCTTCTACAGAAGGAGCAGGAATGTCAAGGCTCGTGGGCCCAGGAGGAAGGAGCAGGTTTGACACAGGGATGTGTTTGACCAGCTCCTGCTCAGCTCTGACCCAGACCCACACTTTGGGCACAGCACTTGTTATAGAAAACCAGGTTTTTCACTCCTAAATTTGGGCCTGTTCAGCCTCAAGAAGAGAAGACTGAGAGGAGACCTCCAAAATGTCCATCAGTGCCTGCAGGGAGGGGGCAGAGGATGGAGCAGGCTCTGCTCGGGGGGCCCAGCAATGGCACAGGAGGAACAGGCAGGAACTGATGCCCAGGAAGTTCCACCTGGACATGAGGAAGAACCTCTTTGCTGGGCTATGACTGAACAGAGACCAGAGAGGGGGTGGAGTCTCCTCACTGAGTATGTTCCAGAACCTGGATGCAATCCTGTGCCATGGGATGGCCCTGCTGGAGCAGGGAGGTGGCACCAGCTGGGACACCGTGGGCCCCTCCACCTGACCTGGTCTGTGACTGTGTAACACAACAGCACATCCCCCCACAGGGGCTTGGCGGGAGGTACATCCCAACTCAGCAAGCCCACCAGAGAGCACTAATCACTGGAGATGCCTCCAAGCTGCTGGAAAATACTCCCTTTGGACAGGCTTTTCCATCAGGGGCCAAATTAAGGTTTTATTTCTACAAATCAACACCCTACACACCTCAGAGGGCCCAGCTGTTCCACACACTTCATCCTTCACCCTGTATTATCTCCATTCCCTCCACCTTTCCTGCCTCAGCAACCCCCCTCCCACACCCCTGTGGCCTGGCAAGGTGACAGTCACCTGCAGGTCACACACACAGGCACTGACTGGCCAGACAGAAAAACACAGCAGGGCAAAGCTGAGCTCTCATTGTAGGCCTTTGGCTGAAATGGAGAGGAGAAAATAAAAACCCACACCCAAAACTAACTTCTCCTCCACTCAAGGAGATGTTTCCACAAGCAGCAGCACCTCCAAGCCCTCTGTGCCTCCACAGAGCCTCCCCAGTGCTGCTCAGAGGACACAAACCAGCACTGGCAGACCTCCAGCTGCCCATCCCAGTGCTGTTTACCCACAGAGAAACAGCGACAAAGGCCATCAGACCTTTTATAACCTTCAACAGAAATCCTACAATAAGCATCTTCTTCCAGCAGTTGCTCCACAGCAAGAGCTGGAGGGATCCCAGGGATCAACCCAGACAGAAAAGAGGGAATAAGGAAGAGGGGGTCACAAATCATCCTATGTGGTTTCAGAAGTTGCCTTACTGCTCCTCTACTTTCCCTCATGCACAGAGGGGCTGGTCTTCAACCCCACACCACCTCCTAGTTCAACAGCTATGGATAATCCGTGGCAACAAAGGCCTCCCAGCCCATCCCATATTTCCATCCCACAACTACGAGCGTGCCTCTAAAAATAACTTTTCTAACACACCCAAAAAAAGCTACCTTTACCCACATCCACTCCTCCACATTACTCCCTCACTTCCTTGAAGCCTCATATCTACTCTGCTCCCAGTCTTTGCTCAATCTAGGTCAGGTGCCTTGTGATTACAGCTCCCAGCTTTAAAGAGCCAGCCTTCAGGTACTCCAGGGTTTGAGAGGATATGCTCTTCCCAAAGTTAGGACTGCACAAAGCGCTTAGGAAGCGAGTCAAAGAAGTTCTGAGCTTCCAGGGAAGCGGGAGGGCTCACAGATGGATTTGGGTATTTATTACGAAGCAAACCAGTCAGGTTGGCAGTGAGCAGCTGGGGAAATCAGAAGGGATGGAAAGAGGGTCTTTTCTAAAGCCTGCCTAAATTCGCACTGACTCAGCCTAAGAATCAGGGCAGTCACAACGAGATGTGCCCCTTTGGGTAGAGGTCCAAAAAAGGATTCACAGGACTGTGTGTGACGGAAGGAGGGCAAGGACACGGGTGAGATGCCCTGGGTAGCACTGGAATGGCACTGCCATGGGCTCAGCACCCACCCCTGCTGCCAGCACGGCCTGCAGCCCCCTCCAGACAGGAGGCTGTGCCCTGCTTGGGTTCAAGAGCAGGAGAGCAGGTGATAATGAGTGTCAGTGTGTGAGCGGGGAAGGAGGGCGGAGAATCTGGGCAGCAGCCAGAGCTGTGCCAGCAAGTTGTTTGCTGTGGACACAGCAAAGCTTGAGACTGGGCCAAACACACATTTAATCAATATGTTTCAGATCAGAAACAACTTCTGAGTCTGGAAAGTCATTACTATTCCTAGTCCACGTCCTAGTGTCTTTCCTTGGCCTTCGGATGTGACAGCCTTGATGGGTTTGGGCGTGATGGGTTTTGTTCATCCAAAGGTTAATATGAACAGCTCACATATGGCTGCAGGAAGTGCCTGTGGATGGGATAAAGCATTAAATCCATTAGGAAATTGCAAGAGCTGTCATGGTGAATATCTGAGAAAAGTCATATCTGTCCTCACATCAAAACCAGCCCAAGCCCTGCAGGGAACGTCCTACAGACCCCCTGGTGTCTTCAAACAGGGGCTGCCCCAGAGCAGGGCAGAAAAGAGATTTCCTGTCCTGCAGGTTCTGAAATCACCTCTGTCAGACTGGGCCAAATCTAAAGTCACCTGAAGCTTCTCATGGAAAACTGAGCCATTGGGAAGGAAGCAGGGAGGGAAGGAACGTGTCTCAGCCTGCACAGCCAAGAGCATCGTGAGTATCCACCAGCGAGGCCATTCAGGGCTGGGAGGGGAAGTTCACAGTCTCACATTTGGAGCTCTCAGCACCAGGCTCTGGGCCACTCAGTACAACTCCCTCAGCATCTTTTAGCTTGGCAGCATTCCAGTGTGTACAAACAATGCAATATTTATTGGGGCACAGGGAGCCTGACTCTACAACCACTGGCTGAGGCACTCACTGAGATGGGCAGGAGCAAATCTGCAGCATCTCTATCCACTGGACAATTGCTGATGTGAATTAAACCCTTCCAGCAACCAAAGCACGTGAGAGCTCCAGCTCAGAGTAGGCGAGAACCTCGGGGGTAGGTCAGTCTGCTGCTGCTGGGTGAACAAGCTGATTTCTCTTGTCTGAAGATGAAACCAGTACTCCAGTTCACCACTAAATTCTCTGACCACCAAACCGGTGTTTCTCGGAGCTTTTGTCCAAGATTTCCACCCCAGAGCCAAGTGATGCTTGTCTGTGCTACAAACCACATACAGCAAATGGACAGAGAAAAATCCCTCCTAACTCAGCCATTCCAAATCCTGAAATATTGGAGGTACTGAGGCATCACTTGTGCTTCATTAGCCCTGTTTGTCAAAGTAAGAGGAGCACAGAAAACAGCCAAGTGAGATTGCACTGCAGGTTCATCTCTTGGGTCTCAGGGGAGATAAATAGAAGAAAATGTTGATTAGAAGACAAAAATCATTAAAATGTTTGTATGGGCTCCTCCCTCTTCTCCTCAGCTTTAACAAACAGACAGTCTTAAGATTTTTGTCTTTGTATCTGTGGAATAAAGTACCCAGGCAGCTCTGGTTTTACTTCAACAGCTCTGCCTACATCTCCAGTCATCAAAGGCTCGTGATGTGCATCTCACGTCCTTAACATCTGATTAACTCTTCAGTGATGAGCCCTCACTCCAATTTGAATATTTCAATGAACCCAGGAGATGGAAATGTATATCCATCAATCATTAACCAAGGAAAGGCCAGTTCCACTCCTGCCAAAGACAGCCCAAAAGCACCTGCTGTTCTGCAGAGGCATAGAATTTGACTCAACAAACCTGTAAATGTATGGGAATGTTCACCCACTCTGGTTTAACATGGATTTGTAACATTTTCAATGAAGCAACTTCCAGTTTGTGGAAGCAGCAGGAACGTTCTAAAGCAGCTTCACTTTGAAACCAGAAGACACTTTTTCTTACTCACAATGCTTAATCTTTCCAGCATATGTTGAAAATAAAAGATATTTCATGACTTGTAAAGACTCTCAGTGTTATTCCACGCTAAACCCCTTTATACTTCAGAGTTATGAATGTGCTGTAGCTAAAATGTTTTAAGAATGCCTGGATCAAAGGCAATGGTGCACAACAGGGATGAAAATCAGGAGTTAATTCTTCCTTCCTCACCAAGGCAGAGTCAACAAGGCAAAGACTGCATTTAATACACACAGTTATCTTACAATATCTGGTGGTAATACCAGTGCCCCCTTTGGAATGATTTGAGCAGGAACTGAAGGTGTTTGTGCCGTAAAATGGAATCAATACAGTGGGGAAAAGGACAATAAAATGCCTGTGGAATCCCCTTATAAATCTGGGGACATAGAGAAACATAAAACCGACTTGTTAACCACACCTGCTGCTGCTTAAAACATCACCAAAGGGTAACCAGACCAAAACAGCCACAAAACTGTTTCTCCCTTCACTAGTCCATATGTTCATAACCATGGAAAGCGTTTTCCAGCTCGGTCACTACCCTGGGCCTAAACTTGTGCTTTGCTCACAGCCCCAGGCTGGCCTTGCTGACCCCTCCTAAAGCACGCAGAGAATGTTAAATGGCAGAGAGATCAACAGAAATGCATGTATTCATCTTATCCTCCTCACTTGTTAAGCAGAAATAATTCAGGGACAATAAGCAAACCCTGTGGAGGTGAACAGGCAGCAGGAGCAGCTCCATTTCCAATTTAGGACCAAGTAGGTGACCCTGATGCTCCTTTTGGATCCATCAGTAACACACTTTTTCCTGCTTCTGAAGGATGAGATTGTGAGAGTTGCCCACCCTTGGAAACTGCAGCAACCAGTGTACAGGGCCTCTAGTTTTTGGCAGCAAGCCTAATATTATTTTTGTTTGCATAACATAATATCTACATGGCAAACACATATGGATCCATATTTATTCATCCATATTTATTCAGCCTTTGAACATGCACCAGGATTAATGCATTTGGGTATGCAAGACTTTCCAGATCATTAACAGTAGGAGAAAAATCAACCCAAGTGTTACACATTTTTCCTACATGATAAATGGAAGAACTGTTTTGAAGCTATTCTTCTATTTTCTTTTGAAATAAGGTAATTGGGCTCATTACCATAAAGCCTGCAGGGAAATTATTTTCCTCTGTAAGTTGGTTTCATTTTTTTTGGAAGGGAAGTGCAATCATCTAAACCCAAAGTTTGCTCTGTAGGATCCTTCACATGCACAGTAGCAGGAAGAGACTCTTGAACCTAAAAGGTTACTCTGTTCTACCACTCCCTGGGAAAATATCACAGAAGTTTATTTGATTCCAGAGATAATTCTAAGCATTTATCAGTCCTTTCTTGTCTTGGTTTAGAGATAACCTAAGTTTGAAGCTCTTCTGATGAGAACAGAAGCTCCATCTCCTCTCCTGCAGCTGGGCAGGGCTGGCTGGAGTGATGAAGCATTTGTGCAGATGGGATCAGGAGGGGAGAGTTCTTCTTGTTGGCACTGAGCGATTCTTTTTGTGATTGGCAGATCAATGCCTGTTTGTTTACGTGTGGATCTTTAAAATAGATGCCAGCACTCCCAGCACTGGGGGGCTGAGTGTTTTCTGCATCAGAGCAGAACAAAAACTGCACATAAATAAATGCAACTCACCAATCTCTCCGACATCGGCGTCTTGTCTCCATCCGGCAAGTGTTGTTCCAGAGCCAGCACGATACAATTGGCTATGATTGTAGCTAAAATCATGTATTCAAATGGAGTGATGACCAAAAAGTTAAAGAAGACACTGGACAACAGAAGGGGAAACCCGTCCAAATCCCATTTCTACCCCCAAAGTCACATTAATTGAGCATTCTAAGATTTCTTGTATTTTTGAAGGCATTCGGTCTCCCTGATTTCCTCAGTTCTTTCTGGGTTGTGTTTGGAAAAAAAGTAGGCAATTGGTTCTCTTCTTTGAGAGAGTTAGAGTTTTACACAGAGTCAGAGCTGCTCAAGGAATTTGGGAGCAAGAAAGTAAAAGGTCCAAAGGAAACAAAAACCTATTAATAATCATTGGTTTAAAATGAGATTGATAAACTGAACTGCCTCAGAATAGATCATACAGCTGAGCACCATCTGCTGAATTGTCCTTCAGAAACATTTCCCTTCAACACATGGTGCAAATAAAGTGATGGGCTGGAAAAGTTTGATTTAGAGTGTCTACACAGGTCCAAAACGTGAATTACTGCTGGATTGCAATTCTCCCAGTGAGAATAAAATCACCAGCGCCCTGTCGGGATGTAGGAGAGAAGCAATCCCAGGGGAAGGATCCCAACCCGGCACCAGGTCCCTCCTTTTGCTGTTGTCTCCAGCCCTGAGCTGTGCCGAGCCCCGGCTCTCCCAGGGTGGAGCCGCACCGGGGAGGGCAGAGGGGCCTGGGGGTGGGAGATGGATCCGCTCAGCACCACAGGGAGAGGCTCAGCACCATGAGGAGAAACTCAGCACCACGGGGAGAGACTCAGCACCACGGGGAGAGAGACTCAACACCACGGAGAGAGACTCAACACCACGGGGAGAGAGGATCAGCACCAGGGAGAGATCAGTCCAACGCGGCGGGGAGCTCTGCTCAGCACCAAGGACTATTTGTTCGGCACCACGGAGAGCTCAGCTCAGCACCGCGGAGAGCTCAGCTCAGGACGGCGGGGAGCTCAGCTCAGCACCAGGTTCAGCACTGTGGAGAGCTCAGCGTGGTACCAAGGACAGCACCAGTTGGCACCCTGGAGAGCTCGGCTCAGCACCGCGGTCAGCTCAGCTCAGCACTGTGGAGAGCTCTGTTCAACATCGCGGGGAACTCGGTTCTAAACCGCAGAGAGCTCGGCTCGACACTTTGGAGAGCTCGGCTCAGCACCGCGGAGAGCTCAGCTCAGCACCACACAGAGCTGGGTTCAGCGTCACAGAGAGCTCGGTTCAACACCTTGGAGAGCTCAGCTCAACACCCTGTAAAGCTCGGCTCAGCACCGCGGAGAGCTCGGCTCAGCACC